AACATAAGATAATGGAGCCGCTAGGTCTCAACCATATGAGCAAAATTAACATAAAAAGGGAGACGCTTGGTAATGAACCAGCAACCAACGAGTAGAACACAAGACGATCTAGCGACTACACACCTTTCAAGTTCTATTGTCTAATGTGGATAACAATATTTTTTGAACCAGGATGCATGTGGAGCTTAAATGGGCTGCATATACTACAGCCAATTTTGCACACGCTATTTTCTTTAACATAGATGTAGAACATAAGTAATAAAGTCATGTTCAAATATTTCTCCCTCACAAAAAAAATGTTAAAATATTTCTGTGTTAAAAATATTATACATACAGAAGATGATTAGTAAATAAAAAATTATATAAGTCTAAGTATTATATAGAAAATGTTTAGTAAAACATAAGTAATAAAAGCATTTAAGATATTCGTAAAACTTAAGTAATAATATTATGTTCAAATATTGGTGTGTTAAAAATATTATATATACATATGGTGATTCGTGAATAAAATATTTAAATATAAACCTGTGTACTATGTTAGACATGACAGAACATTCATATCAAGAGTTTAAAGTTTAAATTATGAATATTTACACAAGCATGGAACTATACAAATGTGCGTTCAATTACAGAAATGTTTGTACAATTAAAATAATATTGTTGAATTATATTTTACAAGTATTTGTATTATTTGAATTATCTAAACATTTTTGTAATTCATAAATATATTGTTTTGAATATATAAATACTAATTTTAAAATAATACATGAACAGTTCTGAAAGAAATTTATTCCTTTGTATCTACAATATTTATAACACACAAATTTTAAAAATTATTTTTAATACTAAGATCATTATTTACATAAAAATTTCTAAAATATATAAAGGTGCATATGGCCCTTCCCAGTGCTCCAAGGTGTACAGATGTTAAGAATGTCATATAGGCAAAAAAGTGATGTGGCAGAACAATTAAAGAGGAGAGGGAGTATTACGGTGACACTAGAAGAAAACGATGGTAAGCACGTGGACCTATGCAAAATGACTATCAATTAATGCATAAAGGTGTTTTGGTGTTAAAATATTAAGTAAGGCATGCTTAGCTATACAAGTTAAGCACCAATGCATTGGGAAGAGTAGTTGCTAATCTTTTTAATGCATTTAGCACTCTACCTTTTTTTATCTTTTTTTTAGAGCTACCATTTTTTTTACCTTAGCACCAATGCATTGGAAGAGGCCTAATGGGCTGCACTGACCATAGTTCATTAGAGTTGACAGGCCCACGTGTTAGAAGCGAAGGAATATAAAATGTAGTTATCCTTTAGAATGACCAGATGCCATTCTGTGTGGTGGTTACCGCGTGCGTGCCCTGCCATCACCCTATATTTTTTTATACACTTTACTGACAGTGGGTCTTACCTGTGCTTTTCTGTGTACTTAAATAAACTTCAATAAAATCAAGGAGTTATCTGAAACATGTACTCCAGCCACTAACAATGGGCCACTCCCATGCTGGCATGCCACATGGACAGCTGTATGCGGGATACAGAAAAAAAGCACTGTATTTGCACCACACAACAAGTTAGATGATCATAAATCCGTATTTTTAAAGTTTTAGCACCAAACTGAACATCCAACACAAGTTCTATGACTGCCGGCGATATTATCTAAAAAAAAGAGAACACCGAGTAGCCATTTTCCTCGTTTCCGCTTTGGGTACTCCCTCCGTCCGGGTGTATAAGTCATTCGCGTAGTTCTAGGTCATCGATTTGAGGAATTAAATATGTGTTATATGTCATGAAAAGTATACCACTAGATTTCCACACGGATGTAGTTTCTAAATATATATTTTTTGTCACATATAATACATATTTAGATAGTTAAATTATCGACCTAAAACTACACGAATGACTTATACACCGGGGCGGAGGTAGTACTTACTATTACTACAACACACGACCTCTTTAGTAACGGGCGTGGATTAGCATATACTCCCTCTGTCTCAGAATAAATGTTTTTAACTTTGTACTAATTTTAATATAAAGTTGTATTCTCTTCGTTTCTTTTTAGTCTATAAATAAGATTTGGTCAAAGTCAAACTTTGTAAAATTTGACCAATTTTATAAAAAAATACCAATATCTACAATACTAAAGCTATATGGTATGAAAACTAATTTCATGACGCATCTAACAATATTGATTTCATATTGTGAATCTTGATATATTGTTTTCTATAAACTTAGTCAAAGTTAACACAGTTTGACTTTGACCAAATCTTATATGCAGACTAAAACAAAACGGAGGGAGTGCTAGAGTTGAGACACCTATTTTGAAACGTAAGAAATATTAGGTAAGTCAACTTCTGGCCTTGAAGCTTTGTGAACTGGATTTTTCTCGTCCAGGTTAATTAATGAGTCTCCTTTTCCTCGTGAAAACAGGGTAGTACGATAGTTAAATTAGGAGAGAGAAAGATTAATTATCATGTTTCACAATAAAACCATGCTAAACCAAACGGTTAAAACCCGAAATTGCTACACCTACGAAAGAGTTTTACATATCCTACGTAAACTCGCTTGGCCTAAGAGCAACTCCAACGGCCGCGCGAAACGACGCGCGCACGGTAAACACAGACTTTAGCGCGTGGGGCGTTTTGCCGTGCTCCAGCGGCGGCGGGAAAACCACGTGCGTGGAACCGCTAGCGCGCGCGCGAAAAGGCGCCAGCTCGTGCGCCATCTTTTGCACGCCGCTTCCGGCGCGCCTATAAAGTGCGGCGCGCGCCACGCGCCTCTCCACGCCTCTTCTTCTCATCTTCCTTTCTCTTTCTGCCACGCGCCGCTCCAGCGTCCCGCCACCGACGCGCCCCGCTACCGACGCGCCGCCATGCCGCCGCGCCGCCGAGGAGCGTCCGGCTACCGTTGCGTCCGCCTGCGGCCCAACGGCGGCTACTACGCGGAGATACGCTTCGGCGATCTCCGGCTCGGCCTCGGCACGTACGGAACGGCGCGCGAGGCCGGCCGCGCGTACGACGCGGCGGCGTGGCGCCTAGGCCGGCCGCGCGGCCAGATGAACTTTCAGGATGTCTACACGCTCCAGCAAGCGCTCGACCGTGCCACGCCGCCGCGTCTGAACACGGCACAAGACCGTGCGGAGCACGCCGAGCGGCAGTGCCGCCTCCTCGTCGCCCAGGAGGACGAGCGGGTCATGGCGGAGTGGCGCCACCGCCACCTGGAGGACGTCGCCTACAAGCAGTCCTACTGGGCAAGGCGTCGCGAGGAGGACACGCGAAGGCGCCGCGAGGCGCGGTTGAACAGGCGTCGGTGCAAGGCGTTGGCTAACACGCAGTCCGATCTCGTTGAAGCAGGTGGGCAGTCGTTCTTCACGCCGGATGATGATCGGTGGTTGGACATCTGGCTGGATACCTCGGACGACACCGCCGAGGAGGATGACGATAGTGATGATAGCGACTTAGACTAGTTTTTTTATGCAATCTATCTCGTGTTTTATCGTTTGTCATTTTTAATTATTATGCAATCTATGTTTCGGATGTAAAATACCTTTATATCATTAAAATCTATGCAATCTATTTATTTTTCAATAGTCTAGAATAAACGCGCGCTGTATTTTAGCGCGGCTGCTGAAGCGGGCACAGCACATTGTGCCAAACCAGCCGATGCACGCGCGGCATATATGTTTTTTGCGTGCGACGCGACCGGCGCCTGTTGAGATACTCTAAACGAACGAGATTTTGGTGCGTACCGAACTCGCTGGCCAAAAGAGTCTTTTTGCATTGCTAGTGACTCGGCGCCCCAGCTGTAGTGTAGTGTGGCAAAAATGAACTGTGTTTGAAAATTTTTCACTCCACTGACTTTTTAGTGTGACGCTCACTATATTGTTCAGCGCCTAACTGACAGGCGCTACACGCTTGTCTAGCGTCGCACTCTGAATTGTCTAAAAATTATTAAATTAGTGTGCAACGTCTAAGAGCTAAGCGCTGCACTATTTGCATTATCCGTGCCGTGTTTTAGTTTAGTTTTCTGTACCGTGGCAGAGACAGGCCTGCCGCTGCTACGGGATGCTCGTCAGCAGCGTAGCTTGGCTTTTGTCAGTGATTTGTATGGTCTACTGCTAGCTATAGTATGGTCTACTGCTAGCTGCTATAGTATGCTAGCCGGCTAGGCTGGATGAGATTTATTTTATCTCTTTCTTGTTTCTCCAGTAGATGTCTGCTCCCCTCCCATGTACGGCGCTGCAACATCTTTCTTGCGTTTCATCAACTCTTGGATTTTTCTGCCCTCTCTTTACCACTAGTGGCATTTGCTACATAATTTGATTCTAATTCATCTATCTACGTTACACCCTCTGCACCGCTGCGTACATGCAAGTAGTGCAGTGCCTATAATCTAGGCGCTACACTATACTGTGTAGCGCCTAGTTCTTAGGCGTTGCACATTGACTTAGCAATTTTTAGATATTCCGGAGTACGATGCTAGCCAGATGTGTAGCGCCTGTCAGTCAGGCGCTACACAGTGTAGTGTGACGCCTAGCTGTCGGGCGCTACACGAAAGAGTCAGCAGAGTGAAAAAATTTCAAAGACAGTTCATTTTGTAAATTCTTTTTGTTCACAGGTTAAAATTGTCGTTTTTGCCGTGTAGTGTAGGCTCGCCTCACCAAAAGATCATCCCCACAACCAGCACGTAGGTCTAGCATTACTCGTTAAAACCAAGTGAAAGGAGATTTATTACTAGCAGATCCCAATCAGGGGAAGAGATTACGCGGCACGCGCTGGCCAAAAGAGTCTTTTGGCATTGCTAGTGACTCGGCGCCCCAGCTGCCAAAAGATCAGCCCCACAGCGGCGGTTGCAATGGAAACTGCGACCCAACAACCAACCTCCCTCCCTCTCCAAGCAGCCGCAACGCTCACCAGAACCCAAACACGCCATCACCGCCGTCACACCAAACGCAGCAAAGCAGAGCAGAGGGCGAAGGGTCGACATCGGATCGGCATGATCCTGGTGGCGGTCATGGCGGAGCTGCTGGAGGAGTACACGGCGGCGGTGGCGCGCGCCCTGGAGCGGCTGCTGTCCGCGGCGCCGCTGCGCATCCTGCCGCGCCGCGTGCGGTTCGTCGTCCTCCGCCCCCTCCCCTTCGCCTCCCCCTCGGCGCCCGTGCCGCCGCCGCCCCCGCACGCCGTCCCCGTTCTGCTCGCGCGCTGATCATGGGCGGATCCAGCTCAGCTCATGCTCTGAGCTCTGAACTCAAGTGAAGTGAGGCTGCTTCTTGTACATACTCCGGTCCGGTTACTGGCCCAATAACATGGTTAGCTAAAAGAAAGTACTCTGCTTCTGATGTTTGGCTGTCCTAGAGATGTTGGGGTACCTTGTAATTTCTTGCCTGTTCTTTGACCTTGCGGAGTAGTCAGTCATGGCTCAACTGGTGATGAGATATGTAAATTTCTGTATATTCCAGCTTGTCGCTTTCAGATGTATTTCGATCTGTAGACTGTTGATTTGGAACAAAAATTCCGAAAGAGTCGATCAACTGCTAGTCTGCGTACAAACACTGTACATGCAACCCGCAAACCCGGGGGGTAAAAACCATATTATGCCTCGTTCGATTGCAGTGGGTTTGAGGGGTATTAAAGGGGATTGTGAGGATTATATCCCCTATTCCCCTGTAAGTTAAATTCCTCCCCAATCCTTTTCAAGCCTCTCCAATCCCCTTGGGAAGAGATTAAATTAGGGCAAGTGTTTGGAAAAAAATAAATTCCCATGAGTTCATATAAATAAATGAAATAATTGTACCATTCATAAGGCCGGTACGAGTACGGGAAGGCAATACACGTACCACGTACCTGCATATCTATATACTAATTTCTTCTAACAGATAGGTCCCTTGTTCGCGTATCGTTTTCTTTCTTCCTATCAAAGAAAGAGGCCATTTCGCCTATGCGCCATCAGGGAGTTCCTTCGGCGGCTCCCCTCCACCGATGACCTCTGGATTTGGCACTCCTTTGGATTGCTAGGAACTCACAATGACATCAACGTCTTGCAGTGCTTGAATGTCTTGCCCAAGCTTGTTGAAGGTCATGCTTCTTTGATGAACTTCGAGGTCAATAGACGCAACTACAACAAGGATACTATTTAGCAGATGACATCTATCCAAGATGGTCAACATTTGTGAAGACTATCTCAAACCCTGTGCCAGGAGGCAAGAACTCCTAGTTTGCTAAATGTCAGGAGGCTTGCAAGAAGGATGTCAAGCGGGCATTTGGTGTGCTCCAATCTTGATTTACTGTTGTCCGGTACCCCGCTCTGACCTGGTTGAAATCTCAGATGTGGGAGGTGATGAATTACCGTGTCATCTTTCGTAACATGATCATTGAGAGCGAGCAGGACTAGCCAGTGTTTGACACTGAACCATATTTCAGGCAGGGTCCTCTTGCAACTGTTGATCACCAGGTACCGGCAGCATGGGCTGTCTTCCTTAATATGCGTCAGGAGATCCGAGACCCACAGGTGCATCAAGAATTGCAGCACGATCTGGTGGAGCACCTATGGAGGCTTAAGGGCAACACCTAGTTCGATGTGTTTTAATTTGTGTTTGAATTATGAGCTTGCTTCATTGAACTATTTGATTTTTATTAATTTTTGTTATGAACTACTTTGAACTAAAACCACGACGAGTAATTTG